CCTGGCTGGGGGTGACAAAACCAAAGGGCCCCGCGGTATCGTCCCGCATCCTGCGTCGGGAGACTCCACTGGCAGCGAGGGCGAGGGGGCCCCTCGGGGAGGGGGCGCTGCCTTTTTTTTTCTGTGCAGGGAGGGGGGTACCTGGTGAAACCCCCTATTTACAGTATTTTATTGCCGTGCAATAAAAGGGGAAGGGTTATTACTCCCAGGGGATCCTAATGACTTTTCCTGGTAACTGGCCTCTTTTCCCTCAGAAGATTTTTCTTGTGGGTATGCAAGAGGGGGAAGAATGGAGAGGGTCTTAAATTGTGAGGACGAACAGCCCAAAAGACAGCTTGGAGATGAAAGACACCATCGCATCCTTTAATTGGGGGTCTCCTGCCCATCTTGGGCCTTCAGCCAAAGCCAGTCCAGCAGGACAATACTGTAACTGACGACACGGCCAGGTCTGGAAAGGCTACACCAGAAAAATGGCACTTGTTGCCTGTTGTCCATGGATCGCCCTTCTCATAGGCACCATCCAGCTCCAGTGCCCCAGCCTTCTCAGACACCAGGGAGAAGATACAGGGCACTGACACCCGGAGAGGCTGAAGGCCAAGGCGTGGAGAGGGGTATGCGAGGGGTAGGTTAACAGGGACACAACAGGAGGGACCTGCTCATCTCTATCCCTTTAAGCAAGGGTGAGAACAGCATGATCTGACAGGGGGGACTGCAGTGCAGGAGCCTTTGAATGCAGAAGGCAATATCCTACTTCAAAAATCTGCTGCAGGGGGAAGAGGCCCTTTCTGGCCTTTCAAAGCAGAAAGTGAAACAGCCTGGTCCATGCTGCAGGGGTAGACGGGGGAGCAACTGAATTAAACAAACCCTGCCAATGATGAGCTCACACCCCACTCTTGGTCAGAAGCTGGCTCTACTCCCACTGCAGAGGAGATGTCCACCAGCCGCCCCTTTGCTCTGTTCCAGCTGGAGTCTGTTCAAGAAAAACATGACTGAAGAGGTTTGAAAAGCCGGACCTGGCTCCAGAAAAAGGCAAGCCCTCGCTCAGGGATGGTTATACAAGTGCAGCCATTTGCTTCTGCAGTAGCTGCTCTCCACAGCCATGTGTCTGGCGGCTGTGCGTTACCTACGTGACCTGTCTGCAGCCACCACCCCAGAGCAACAGAGGCAAGAGAGAGCATTTCTGCTTTGCCCTCCATTAAAGGAAAAGTTCCTGGTGCAGCATTAGAGTCCAAACCTGCCTCGCAGGCTGAGATATGTTTGACACAGGCAAGTCACTTGAAACTAGCTTCAAGAAAACAAAGACAACTATATGCAGCATTTTGGCTTTGTGAAGAAAAACTACTGCTCTAACATGGCACATGCTTACCGGCTTAGGAGGAAAATTTTTAACTGCAAATGTCCCTGTTTCCATGTTATCACATTCACAGTATAGACCTTTTGCACAGTGTAACCAGTGGAAGAACTCCTGTGAACTGACCTTAGGGAAAAGCTGGTTTTAATACCCCGATGTTGGAGTGGGATAAGGATCGGGAGTAACGACACGATCTCAATATGAGTATGATCGTTCTCCTTTAATATCTGTTTACTTTGTCATTATATAGAAAGCAGAACCAGGCACGCACAAGCAACAGGTATGTGATTGGTTACAAGCAGTTGTCCACGCATCTACAATTTATTTCTGATTGGGGCAAGGGTGCTGTGCACGCGTAGCAGGGCGTAACTAACAGCTGGACCCTGTTCCGTTATCTTTGTTTATGCCATCACTGCATTCCTCTCTAGTTACTGTTCAAGGACAGCTCACGATGGCTCTGAGGCTTTCATCAGCCTCAGAGCCTGCCTCATAGCCTGGATTGCTCACAACAATCAGATCATGTCCCCTTTCTTGTAGCCATCCTTCTACACCCCGAGTCATCCCTTTTGCTTGGCCACCACTCGTAAGCAGGAAGCTACTTGCTTGAGCTATCTCAGGTGTCTAACTTCCCAAGTTTAATTCTGTCGATGTACAACTGAGGCCAGCCTGTGGAGCTACAATGTATCCCCTTACACACTGAGTGACATCCCTCAAGATACTTTGTGTCTCACCTTGTTCCTGCTGGCAGGCTACTTGGGGTTTCAGAAACCTCTGAACCCAGCAGACAGCAAGAACAAAAAAAACCCCAAAAGAATAAAAAAGGGCAAAGAAGCACCGTTGGAGCATAACTCACACTGGCTTTACCAGACACTGGAGACCTCTGAAAGAATTGTTTTTTACAAAAACAGGTGAAGTTCAACTGGTGCTATTCACAGAAGGGCCAACAAGAAAGGTCACTGCAGCCATTTCTGTATTTCTGAAGCACTGCTGCCTATGAAAAACACCAGTACAGATAAGTGTCTACCAGGCAACACACTGTCACCACCAAAACCAGACACAAGTTTCTCTGTCAGCTGACTCTGAAGGCATCCAACATAAATGGTGTTTTTTTTTCTGAACCACGTCTGGAACATCATACACAAAATACACATTTCTTATTTACATTCACTTCTCAATTTTTATTCTATTTCTTGCATGGTCTTCAAATACAGTTTTACAGGTCCTTTTTTCTGCTACAGATACTGTTGATCTAAAAACAGATTAATGAAAGTGGCATTCCAACCTTAATGAAAAATTCATAATCATGAAAGATATGTCAACATATCACTTTACAATCCTAGAATGATGGTATTGGCCTGACATTCCATAGGCTTATATAATTAACTTCTACAATAATAACAACGTCATAGGAAGAGAAAATGTGTCAACTCCTTAAAAGCCAAGAAATAAGGCCACAAGCATCCTATGCTGTACGTTATGCATCCAGACAAAATAGGTTGGCTCTGGTATCCATGAAGAAACAAAACTCTCCCATCTGATAAACCAAGGTATCAGCTACACAACATGCACTCAAAGCTGTATAAAAACTAGTGGCATTCAGCTCTGACTTACATGAAACCCCACAGCACAACCCCGTACCTCTCTGTAAAAATGAAATGAACTTAAGTTTCAACTTAAATACTTTGCTACCGCATTAAAAAATTGTTCACATTCTGCAAAGGAAAAAAAAAACCCAAACATCCTGCACATGACTGCACCAGAAGGCCAAACAGCATCTCCTTACAGGTCGCAGCCAATACCACTGCAGTCTTAATGCCATTCATTACAGGCTGTGTAAATTCCTCTATGCCACTGGAGGTTCGTAAAAGGATCACTGAAAAAAACGCAGGAAAATCCAAAAGGAAGATAAAGATAACTGATGGCAGCAGGTGAAAGCAGCAAGGTGTACAACATTGGCCAATTGTGTATCTGGGACACTGGGACTTCTGTGAAATACCGATTTCATAAATGATGCACCTACCTCACTACCAGATCCCATACCACGCTCATTCCACCCCATAGCCAAACAAGTCAGTCCTGGGTAAAAACATTAAACTCTTGGAACATTTAAAAGTAGGTAACCATTTAAACAATGTGTAAAAATGCGCTTACTGTGGCATTTCTTATAGAAAAGTTATTTGATACAAATGTGCAGGACTTTAAGACCCTGATTTAATCAAACCAGTATGAACAGGCTTTGAAACATGGTGACTGTTCCAAGGACACATCCCACCTCTGGGCCAGCTCTCTCCCTCTCACCTTATACACAATCCTGTGTGAATGTTACCAAAATAAACGGGCTCAGCTGACCACCCTGTGAATTGCTGTTTCAGTCCCAGGAGAATGATGAGAACCTCAAGCAGTGACAAACTGCTGTCTGAAGGAAGGATCATTTGGGATCCGCTCCCCTTACCCAAGATGGCTGGTCTCTAGCCTTGGACACAAGGCACAATAAGAAAGGTCAGTGCTGAGGACAGATTCGTTCTCCACCGTGGTTTTAGGTTATTCAAAAGTGACATCTTGGACCTACACCATTTCACTTTTCAAAAGAAAATGTTACAAAAACTGGTAAACAAGAAGTCAGCATACAGCTAAGTTTATGTACACTGCAATTTACAAGTTTGTCATTAAGTGACTTCTGCCACAGACAACTGCACATTTGTCCCTAACAAAGCACAAAGCTCGAACCAATGGTCATTAGAAGTGACAACGGGTCACTGCTTTATCAACAAGCATAAAGATAGTAAAAAATAGAACTGTAGCTACTTATCTTTAAATTTGCTGATTGACACAAGCAATCCCTCCCATTTCTGCAACTTCCAGTTGCACATCCTGCTCTTATGACAGAGAAAAAATGTGCATCTTTATAGATACTTCTGACAGAGACCACTTTTCTGTTGACATGTGAACGCAGATTACTGTTGTCAACCACAACTGAGAGGGATTCCTCCGAGAAGCTATTGCCCATGCAAGATTCCTTGGCACTTCACACAGGACCAGGGGAGGACAAGGTTTCTCTTTGTTAAAACAGTGTTTTCAGCAGCATTATCCTCTTCCAACCAGTTACAGTCTAAATGTGTGATGGGTGATTTTCGCATAGCCCCTTTGACCAAGCTGGCTTATTGCTGGTTTTGTGCAGCTAGACCATATGAAGATCCCCACCACTACCTGCCCAGCTGTTCAGGGACTACAGTACTGGAACAGTTCACCATCAAGCACTTCACAGGCTTCTTCCAAGGATAACAACATCCTTTGGAAATCCTTCCATTTTAGCAATTTCAAAACAACCCAGTTTGCTGTAAAATTCCAGGATTCTTTTATCATCTGGTCTCACTTCACAAAAAGCCCCACGGGAGCCTGAAGGAGGAAGAAACAAACAAAACACTCCAGGAGAAGAGTTATTGTAAAAAGCACAGACATCAAATATTGCTAGAGTTCCCACCTATTTTAACATTCAAATTCAATGAAATCACTGATCCAATTCCATGTGCAGCATAGCGCCTAAAAGAGATCAGATTTATGGCAACATAGCTGACCACCCCCTAAAGGGACTGCACATTGCAGACATCTTGTCAGTCTGAACACACCGTCTCCCCTCTGCACACCTTTTATTTCACATAAAAGCATCCTGAAACTCTGATGTTGGCTCAGAAAACAGCACTAGAAGAGGGCACCAAATCATGCAAAGGAACTGTGAACCTCAGGTGCGCACTAAGGCAGGCAGCCAAGTACTTCCCCATATTGGAGGTTTTGGTAATTACCCACCCGTGCACACTGCTGCACATAAGAAAAAGCATCATTACCAATGCCAGCAGGGGAAATATAAACATTTGTGTGTTGTTCAAGATGTAAAAATGTGTGCTCTCATTGCCAAATTGCTCCCTCAGTTATTCCTATCTCCTAATTTGCAAGATAATGGCTAAAGTGAAAAGCTACCTTTTACCAAAGACAGCAGCAGAAGTTAGCTCTCCGAAAGTTTTTATAATTATTTACCAAAAGCTAGAGTGCCAACCACAGCAAAAGCTAACATCTCAGGCTGACACGCAAATAGTTACGTTAATATAACCATCCCAAGTTTGCTTTGCATCCTAGAACTAAAATGTAATTAGGAAACAAGGAATTTTGAGGGCAAGAAGCTTACCATTAGCCTTTAGAGAAGAGAGAAGGCAGGCCATCATACTTTTGGCCACGCTTGGATCTGTCACTTTTTTGTGGATATCAATCTTTATCAATGACGGGAAGTTGGCAAGGAACGATTCTGGCAATACTTCTTGCTCTTCATGGAAGCTTAGCATTATTTTCTGAAAAGAATATGGGAAACAGACATTGAATTGCTATCCAGCTTTTCATTTTCGTTCATGTTTATTAAGGAAGGCTGCTTTCCTCACGGAGCACACCTCCAAATCAGCATGCTTTTCAACTACACCTCTGATGGCCACTTTGTTCCTTACCTGCTGGATTGCTCTCTGTACTCCAGATAAAAAGGCAGGCTATAAAAGCTTCTCAGACTGCAAAAGGAGGAATGCAAGACCTTGCATGGCTTCTCAGTGACCCACACTTCAAGTGAGAAAAACCACAAACCAACCCAAAACTAACAGTTTGAGCCCAGATATTCTTTTTCTTTGTTTTTTTACCCAGGTAGTTTTAGCTTTAAGTGTCCTAACCTAACCTTCCACACGTATTATTTGGTTCACAGAAGCCTGGAAACATCTCTCATGTCCATGCAATTACCTTAGACTACTTGCCTCAACAAAGGCAAATTTGTGCCTAGCTTGAAATAAGCCTTTCTGATGACTAAAGGATGTTGCTGATCACTAAAGGCAATTACAATCACCCAGGAAGGTATTTGTGAATGTGACAGCAGATGTTAACTTCATGCAACTCATGGGAATGGAACAACCAAGTGAGGCAGAAGAAGCCAAAGCCAAACCTGAAATATACTCAAGTCATTCTCCTCGTTGGTTACTGAATTTTAAAACCTTTAGGAACCACTGTCTCAAGTGAACAAGCCACCTAACTTCATCTGTTGTATAACTGAAAGTTACTGTCGTAACAACCCAAACCAGGACTTCATCACACAAGGATCCATAGTATTAGCAACATCCACTCCCCCCACCCCAATCAAATTTAAATGTCAGTTCATAGATTTGAGGGGATTGCATCTCCCAAACTCTTGCAGGGAAAGTCTCTGTTCAAAGTCACTACTTCAAGTTCGTTGAGCCACTTCAAGTTCAGAACCACACCTGCTCCTCTGGCCTCTTCTCTTTATCACAGCTGTAATAGGCCCAATCCCACAGAAAGTGCTCAAAGAGAGCCATGAACCTTGAGGCTCAAGATGTATTTAAGCAAACGAGAGAATACCCGAACCGTATTAGAAGTCAACAATCTGAAACAAATTATCTAAAAAGTACAGAAAATGAGCTTTTCAAACCAAAGTGGAGACTGAGATTATCAAGAGCTAAGAAATAGGCAAAGGAAACCAAATCCATTGTACTCTGTGAGAAAATTTTCCCTACGTGGTCTTCAATGACAATGGCTTCTAAGCATCTATTGAATATTCTCTACATTTCTTTAGTGTCAAAAGGCTAAATGGATAAAATCCCACAGCATCTATCTCAATAACAAAGTACAAAAAGCTTCTCTGTCCTCCTAGGAACAGCCCTCAAGCCCACAGTCTCAAGAAACAGACTCATATTTTATTATCAGCAAAAAATGGTCTTACATGTGTCAATGGAAAAGCTAGTTTATCAGCACAAAATACCTATGCTTTCTCTCTGAAGTTTGGCTTTGAACTTCTGGAAATCAAGGCCCCTTTTCCCTTACTGTATCTACTACAGTTTTGCTGTGTTTATATGCATTAGCTTTGCTTCAAAATCTGAATTTACATATACAGTTGAAAGGACAGCACTGTGCAAATGTAGAAGAATCAAGTCATAAAACCTATAGACTGCAGAATGAGCTCCACTTCAACAGTAGTAGTGGAGCTATTAAGATACCTTCTAGTCACACCTACCTCAGAACACCGATATTTGCTGCAAGGCTGGTAGTGTTTTTGGTTTTGCTTTGTTTGGGTTTGTTTTAACGCACCTCACTTTTCCCCCAGCAAGCATGCCTGTAAGTAGTGGCCATTTTCACAACAGGGTGAGAAACATTTCAGTCCACTTCCAGGAAGCTTTGCTTTGCTTGTGGGAAAGCTTGTGGTCTGAGCCATTATCTGTTTCAAGACTAAGTCCCAGTCAAATAAAGGAAGGGCAGACTGCTGCATGCTCACCTCAGACATACCATTTTTGCCCCAACTTTACCAGCTCGCGATTCCTTTAGGAGGCTCACCAGTCTGACACCAGCCTTTGTACCCAGACAACTTGGGAGAATACTTTCTGGAAAGTATACTTTCCCTCTGGAGAGGGAAATAAAAATACTTGAAACTGGTGTTTCTGGGCCTGCATCTACTACAGCTTTGTCCACACCTCCTTCTACATGCAGGTGTGGATTGGCACCTCTACGTACTAAAGACACTTCTTTCCTTCACAAGAATGCTTCAGCTAGAACTTTTCACAACTTCTGACAGTTCAGTGACACTGTTTTTCTAATTTCTTCCAAAACCAATTCAAGATATTGATTTTTAGCACTCGCTAAAGGTGAGATGTTGCTTTGCACCATTTACAACCGTCCCACACCACAAACAGCTCATAGATTTTATCAAAACCAAGTGCTCTTTAATCTGTTTTTCTTACTTAAACTGATGTGATTATCAGGGGTTAGCCTTACCTGCAGCATGGGGAAACTATTCTGTAGGAGAATAGGGCAGAAGAAATTATTTATTTTCAAAATGTAATTTTCTCTAGATTAAGGTGGCTTACATTTACCATATTGATTACTACTAAAGTACACCTCATGGGTGCACTACAACACACAGCTGTATCTGACTAGCACTGAACAGTTTTACTGTCACCTTCTAAAAGGTCAGATACCATGCTCACCGAAGACTTCAGAAAGGTATGAAAACTGAATTACATGGAACCTCAAAATGCAAAAGAATAACAAAGACCTGCTTTGGAAAGAAAGAGTTTAGCACACAGTTCCCATCTTGTGGGTTATACCAACCTCTGCCTCTGACAGCTCCTTGTCACTATTTGGTTTAGTATATTTTTCTTGCATGAACGGGATCCAAGACATTTTGCATTTTTTAATGAAAGGAGTCACATCAACCGTTCCCAAAGCATAGCCACATATGCCATCCTCATCTTCTAAGACAAAGCAGTAATCCAGGCTGAGTGTGAGCAGACCTCCTACTAACCTGCAAAAAGAAGTGTCCAAATTCAGTCAAAAGGTCACTTCAAACAAGTATGCTCTTCAAGTACTCTGGAGGAGACTCTAAGGTCAACCAAAGAAGAGACAAGAGTCCTCCACTCATGGAATTAGCTCCTCCAAAGCATTAACAGATTGATCAGCTGACAAAACACAGCTATGAGCAAAATCTGCACCTCAGGATCCCACAATTCTATACACACTGCTCTTCTGACTCACTAGAGACACAAACTTCCTTCACCTTTTGCCCTCAAGTTTCTCTGCTGCCATTACCTCCTTCTTCTTCCATCTTCTCATTCGGGCATTTTTTTTATATCAGTTACACATTCTTTCTTAACTACCTTCCCGTCACTCACAGAGCAGCCTCTTTACAAAGTTCTACCTAAATTAAACACTTGAGACACAAAAAAAACCCCTAAAACTAACTCATTTTAAAGCTCAGATTTAAGACCTTTTTTTTTTTTCCCCAAAACTTATCTCACTTATCATTGCTTATTCTTTTAACTTCATCTTACTTGTCATTGCTTATTCTTTCAAAAAGCTGGTACAGGCAATCTATAATATGTATTTTGAAAAAAACTCAAAGCAGTTGGCTGGGAGATTGGTCTTCAAAAAAACTTCAGTTATCTGAAGAACTACCCTAGGTTGGAAAAAAATACCAGAAGGTAACTACAGACTATGGATGCTCTCATTATATACCTTCACAAAATCTGAAATAATAGGATACTATGATGCACAGGTTTCATAATACAGGTTTCAGCTAAGTCTTTTTTCTAACAGCTGACAACAGGTGACCAGAGCATAAACTGAGACATAACTGTTAATGGTATCTTTAAGAAAATAAAACCGCAATTTCCTGAGGCCTGCAGAGGGCATTTTTTTTTTTTTTAAATCAAATGCTCTTTGTATTCTTCACATATACATTTAAAAATTCAAATTAAATACAGTGTCACGACTTCATTCTTCAGAATCACCTTTGTAAGTCATTAATTCCTAATACATACTTGTCTCCAATTAAGTCTGGTAAACTATGGAAGGGTTGATCAGCTCCATCTGCATACATTTCTCTGCAGATCTTATATACAGATGCCTAAGAAGAGAAGAGAGATGATCTCAAGTCATCAGTAGCATTCAAAAGCTAACAACATTGTTTTAGAGAGATTTTATTAACAGGTCACTGTAAACCAGCACTGACAGGCATATAAGTTACACAGAACAAGAGTACCCACCTGTCCTGGTTTCGGCTGGGACAGAGTTAACTTTCTTCATAGTAGCTACTAAGAGGCTATGTTTTAGATTTGTGCTGAGAAGGCTGATAACATACTGATGTTCATAGCTGCTGCCAGGACAGACAAGGACTTTTCAGCTTCTTTGCTGTGCCAATGTCTGCAGGTGCAGCAGAAGCTGGGAAGGAGCACAGCCCCAATCACTAGCCTAGGATTCCACCTTAGGTTTAGGATTGAGACCCAAATTGGCCAATGATATATTCCATATAACGTATGCCATGCCAGTATATAGATGAGAATCTGTCCGGAAGCCCCCTCTCTCTGGGTTACCCGTCTCTCAGGGTCATCTTACTCTTTCAGACTCTAGGGCTCTTATCTCTGTTCTGGTATCGTGGCTTCAAGGACTCTCCCTGCTCCAGAATCATTAGCCAAGAATAGGCTAAGCTTTGGTCATTGGGTGGTAAGAAGTTTACTGTGTATATCTCATTTGTATATTTTTATATATTACTAT